TGCCAAAAACATATTTAATGATTAAAAACACGGTAATACCAAAAACATATTTAATGATTAAAAACACGGTAATGCCAAAAACATATTTAATGATTAAAAATACGGTAATACCAAAAACATATTTAATGATTAAAAATATGGTAATACCAAAAACATATCTAATTATTAAAAATACGGTAATACCAAAAACATCTTTAATTATCAAAAATACGGAAATATTAAATAAATATTTAATTACAGAAGTTTCGATATTGTTTCAAATTCCATCACCAGTGTTTAAACTCAGAAAAATTGTAATTACAAAAAACAATATTAGCTATTGAGAGAGTAGTTTTTAATATTATCGTCTCTGGAGTGCGCGACCTGTGAGGGTCAGGTTGAATCCAGACCCCTTCCTCCTTTATATAAGCTAAAGTTTAGAAAGAACAGATTTAAACGGTAACAATATAATGGAACGTACAATAAAACGTGCGGCATACACGTTTAATAATATTGTTAAAAGAAAACATTATAATGAATAGTAAAATATCCGTATAAACTACTGGATCTTTAATTACAAATTTGAATAAATTATGAATACAAATATACAATATTATTACAAGCAAGTTTTAACGTTTCGACCTATCATATCGGGTCATCATTTGGTAAGGGTTAACTTCAAAAAATCAGTTGAATTCCAGAGAACGTTATACGCTCATGCCGGTAAATTTGTAGGTGGCGTTAAATTAGCTTTTATATTAATATAAATAAGGGGAGGTTTCTGGATATTTATTTTGGGTTGGCTTTATTAGTTTTTCAGTAGTGCTTCAGTAATGTTTCTTCTGTTGATGTCTGGTTCTCTTCCGATGATTTTAACATTGTTTTCAATGTTGTTTGGTTTCTCTGAGATGTTCAAAAATGTATGAGGGTATTTCTCTCTGTGATATTAAAGCGTTTACATGAATTTCATTTAATAACTAACAATTACCGCATGGAAAATGAAAACAGTAGAGTTATCTACAAGATCACATGTTTGTAGTATCAGGTGTATATTTTAATGTAAAAAAGGAAACTATATATACATATTCTTTGTCCAGTAAATACAATAGTCTTGTCAGAGTGAATACAACCATTCCCTGAAGTCAAAATTAAACTTGACTCAAAAATATATCTTTTGTTCTTTTTAATCCTCACAAACTTGTTGTGTTCGTGAAAGAAGAAAGGCATATTATTATGTCGAGTTTAATTTTTTCCCTTCAACATAATGTAAAATAAAAAGCGTCATGAGATCAATTAAATCATTAGGATAGCATAGTTATATTTAATTTGACAGTTAACGTTTATACGTCTCACCTGTCCGACAGTGCTGGCCCATAAACCCCTTCTGGCACTCACAAACTTTCTGCTGGTTACAGCGCCCTCCATTGGCACACTTCTTATCACATTCGGGATCCGTAACTAGGCAACAACCAAAATATCATATCGTTACAACGTAGGAATATTTCGTAAGGAAGTTGACCTCAGTTTTAGTTTCATAACCTTTTCTGGTAAACTTAATTTAACGGAAATGTCTAACAAAACAGAAAACTTGTACGCTTATTAATAATACTTGCATGTTACTTAATAATATTACACACACTTCTTAATAATGCTTACATGTTACTAAACAATACTTGCATGTTACTTAATAATACTTACATGATTATTAATAATACTTTCATGTTTCTTAATAATACATGTTACTTAATAATATTACACACACTTCTTAATAATGCTTGCACGCTTCTTAATAATATTTGCATGTTACTTAATAATACTCACATGTTACTTAATAATATTACACACACTTCTTAATAATGCTTGCACGCTTCTTAATAATATTTGCATGTTACTTAATAATACTCACATGTTACTTAATAATATTACACACGCTTCTTAATAATACTTACATGTTACTAAACAATACTTGCATGTTACTTAATAATACTCACATGTTACTTAATAATATTACACACGCTTCTTAATAATACTACATGTTACTAAACAATACTTGCATGTTACTTAATAATACTTACATGATTATTAATAATACTTTCATGTTTCTTAAGAATATTACACACTTCTTAATAATGCTTGCACGCTTCTTAATAATACTTGCATGTTACTTGATAATACTTACATGATTATTAATAATACTTTTATGTTTCTTAATAATATTACACACGTTTCTTAATAATGTTTGCACGCTTCTTAATAATGCTTGCATGCTTCTTAATAATGTACGCACGTTTCTTGATAATACTAGCATCATGTTTCTTAATAACATACGTATATTACTTAACAATACTTGAATTTTTCTTAGTAATACTGCCCCCTATTGGCTCAGCAGTAAATCTGAAGGTTTATAACGCTAAAAACTGTGTTTCGATACCCGTATTGTGCACAGCACAGATAGCCCACTGTGTAGCTTTGCGCTTAATAACAAACAAAAACAAGTCTTAATAATACTATGATTAATATGTTAGACCTTACTGATGAACTACGATGTCACAAGTACGTGCGCGTGCGCGTATTGTACGATAGTTTGTTGTTTGATATTAGCCCAAATAATCGCGCGCCATCTCTGTCAAACATTTATTGTTGTTTTATGTATTTATTGGAACAACAACTATATCAT